AATTCCCATCCCTACCTTTATTTCCGAGTGAAGTTACCCCACGTACTTGATCCCGGACCTTGCCTTTAAGTTAACATGAATTTATACAACTTGGTTCAGAAGTTAGCGAAAACACAATTATTGGTGTTGCGAATCGGTGACCGCGGGGGGGGGAGGGGAACCCACATAACCTGAGAAGGAACGCGTGACCTTCCTAAGCGCGAACCCCTAGAGGGACGACAACTTGGAACACTTACGAACCCTCAAGTGCTTGCCGCTGACCCGATAAACGTTATGAACTAAGCGCGCGCATACTACGAACCCCTACTAGCACCACTCCTCTGGCCCTAAGTAAGGTGACAAACATCTTAGAGAACGATACCTTAGGCTAATACCTCACAACACAAATACACGATAGTTACTAATTATTTATGTACTTAATAAACCTTAGACTACCTAAGTTACAAGGAATGTTAGTAAGTGAAGTAAAATGAAGAAGGAACTCACGTCGGGTCTCTGCCACAGACCCGCCAGACGACCAACTTCCGATAGAATTTAGATATCGATAGATAAATCCACAACAAGATATTTTCCATAATTAGTTCTAAGGGCTCAAAGCCCCGCGGGATCGCCGTACATAATTTCGATGACGCAGGAACCCATGACGTAAGAGGAACCCAGGAAGGTTCGTGATGTTGCTGTCGATAACAGCACCGTGCGTTGCCGCACGATCACGAAGTAGATATATAGGGGTCATGACGGCGACTACCCGCGGGCACCGGCGCACCCCGGATTCCCTCGGAGCGATCATCGCGTTCGCGACAATTGGGTTGATTAAGAGATAAGCAGTTGGTTGCTAAATTTTGCTGGTTAGAAACTGCTGTGAAATTCGAGAAACTTCAAGGGTTTTTATTTTTGAGAACCCAGAATGGAAACAGTTCGCTATCGCAAACCATTTCCACACCATCCGAGTCTGCTGCCTGTGGTGTAAATCTGGATATTGGCAAAGAATATCTTCTCAGTGGTGGGTTTCATTTGTTATTCATAGGACACCCACATGAAAATTCAAAACGACAATGAAATAGGTCTCACATTTTCCGCTGAATATTTCTACATCGGTGTTAGCGCAAAAGTGAATTGTTAGGTTTCTTATACAGGGGAGGGCAAAAAAGTAGAGTCACTTTGCCCATGGCGCACATCAAATTTTTCGTCGCACAGGATGCCGTTGTTGATGAATGTTTTACGGCAGAATATTCCTTAGGTGTCCCCCATAAGCAGAAGCAGGCCCTCCTTCACTGCCCCACCGTCTTCAGAATATGACGTCATCTGCCGTCACCGTCGAGCTCAACGAGGCTTACAGCAATCGCTCCGGTCGGAAGCTGCTACATCGCACTGAGGAGCGTTTCACTGAATGTTTTACCAATCCAACGGTTTCGAAAAGTCATTCATAGATTCCAAAACACAACAAAACAAACCTAGATTTCAAACCAAAACACAACTTCTATTTACCTTTGTGGCCCGATGAGGCTGTCCGTCTGGAGTTCCGGCCGGAGCGCGCTATGGCTTACAGTTCTCCTGTAGTCGTAGCCAAAACCGCGGAAAAAATATCCAAAACAAAGGAGTGATACTTTTAAAGCTGCTCTAAATTGAACTTGCGAAAGCGATGGCTTCTGGTCAGTCGTTTCGCATCTGAACAAAGATGTGCCACTCCTCAAAACCTCAGACGATGTGGACGACATGGCGAAGAAACCCACATATATTATGCAATAGAGTTTTGTGAAAGGATATGGACCTGAAATCGTATAGTATTGTATTTCAACTTTGAAACTTTCCAGACGTTCATGACAGCGCTATTCCGATAAGATCTATACATATTCGTCTCTTGAAAACCACAGCAATTTTTTCTCATTTTACCAGAGGTGCAAACGAAATTGATGATCAGAATATTTAGGAAGCTACGATGAAGGCGTCCTTCGTACAGCATCGTGTGGTCAGATCTCTCCTGATGATCCAAACGATAATTTCTTTGGAATTGTCATGGAGTGGAAAGATGTTTCGAAGGAGTTCCGTGAAGAGATTTCGAAGTTCAAATGTTGATTCAGGGGTTTTCTCTGTCGAAAGCATAAATCTAAAATCTGCTATGTGTCAGTATGATTTCATTGAAGGCTGTGTAGTCTAAGTCGTTTTGTTTAAGATTGAAGTAAACGAAATCCTTCAAGGTATAGGTTTTTTACTCCTTCATGTAGTAGTGAAACAACAAACGCTCTGAATCTTTTTTCGAATTAACAAACCCATTTCGAGTTTGGAAGTATGGGAATATTTCATTCCTTTGGTCCAAAAATAATGTTAACACTGAAAGGATAGCTGGTGTTTGCTCAGCTCGGTGATCGGTGTATAGTAATGCATTAGAAATCGAACATCAGGCACTGAACAAGAGCCAGGTTTGGGCAGAGCCACTACGGCGGCTGAATGCCCCATTCATATTGCTGCCCATTGTATTGTGAATAAGGATGAGTAGGTTACTCGCTTATTCGTCGCTGAGTCTGCCAGCAGAGATCATAAGTGTTCAGAAAATTCTAGAAGCACCTTCGTATTTTGTGTGACATGATCACAGATTTATCTTAAACTTGCGGTCATGTGCCAGTATAGAACGTTCCATTTTATTGTACTACTCCATTATAATGTTATTTATATCATATACGTTATCGTACCGTTATCATCCAGGGGCCACGATCCGTTTGCCAGAAAGTTACATTCAGAGAGCGTCCCTAACCTATCGTTCCCTACATTTGGCTAGGTGTTTGTGGGAAGGCGTAAAGGCCTACTTCCATATTCTTGACGGAGCTCCCACACAACGAGGAACCACTCTGAATCTGAAATCATGTTCGCTGAAAATATGAATGTTTATGTACTAGGCAGAATTTATGACATTGAACTGCTTTGCGTCGACATTGCAGGTCTTGAAAGATTGAAGTTTCTATTTTTTTTTTTTTTTTTTTGGGCCTACATTTTTTGGTCAAAATATTCTCTTTGAAGTGTTCACGAAGTTTGAAATAATGAAGGCGTAGCAGGAACACCTTTGACACAGGTATTTAGTGAACTATCATATGTTCGAATTTGAAAACACAAATTTGCATTTGGGATTGTTGTTCCCCAAACCGCACCTACGTAAGCGCTTTTTAAGTCATGCGGTATCGTTTACTTCGTTTTGTGAACACACGGTATAAATCTCGCTCTGTCATTGTTTTTATTCGATTTTATTCTATTTTCTTTACCAGCAAAGTTTTCTGCTCTATTCTGTTTGTTTTCGATTCATTTTGTGTCATTTATATGTCTCAGAAATTTGTGCGTATGTCAAACTAATTTTTCGTGCCCACCTACTAAATTTTGAACTATTCTGTTCACCAATTTGACATCACTCACTATCAGTGAATTTTGCCAACGACGAGAGCGTGGCCGTTTAACTTCCAGAAGGCTGGCATTTGATTGGCAAAGGCGAATAATGATTTCGAGCCAATATTTTTTGTCCGCAAGACTATTGCTGAGCGAAAAGGGCAGACGGTCCTTTAAAGAAGGCTGATCACCGCTGCTTTGGACATGGTAGGGCCTCTCAGCTAACCATAAAAGCCTTCAGCTACAGTCGCGCCATTTTCGGAAGTCGTGGTCTCGGTTTTCGTGAAGCGGGCATACCCTCCCATTCAAAAAGCGAGAACAGTGTCGGTGCCGACCCATAAACGCACAACGACACGGCTCAGATAACTCTGGTTAATAGTGGTTCCCAGTGATAGCAAATTTTTGATAAATGATAGGTCGCAATGTGGCTCGAGGGGGGTCTGTCGCCGCGCGCGATCTCTGTGCAAGCATCTCCTTTTCGCTAAATCGGAACTAAGCCTCGGGCAGGGGAGAAGGAGCTCCAGGGGGTACTTCTTAAGTTTTTCTTAAGTTTTGATCGAGTTTCGACGTGAGTCTTTGCTGTTGGTCAACGTATAGATCTGTAAGCTGATTTCATAGTGAGAGGAGTATAGTTAACCGAGAGCTGCTCCCAAATGGCTGAGCAGGATCTTGACGATGAATTTGTACTTGTAACCCCTTCTGCTCGATCCGGCCACTGGGCTTCTAAGTGTGGTTGACACGGAAACTGTACGTACGTACGAAAAAAATTATAGATGAACTCATGTTGCATTCTTATCCCTCACATTCATTCATTTGTGAGAGAATTTTCGGCAAAACTTCAACCCTTTTACGAAGGAAGAAGAACCTTGATGAAGCATGCAAGAGAAACGTCAGGGTGTGCTGGACACACACTACACAGCCTACTTAAAATAAGTATTCGCAGAGGAAGCTTGTGGCATGAGACCTAAAGTATGAACCAACTTTTGAGACAACCCTCGTGAACTATTAGAGAACTATTTTACCCACTTGTTAGATTTGTTTCTCCACTTAACAGCACCGCTTTGTTCTATTTGCACAAATCATGGAAATTATGCGTGATTGGTTTTGCACATACATAAGAAAAGGAGACATGACAAAATTTCAGAATGAGAAGCCTTTCGCTAACCATGGTTCTCATTGCTGTGGTGCTAGCGTGCAGGTGTCCAATACCTCCGAGCAACGACGCGTTTTGCCGAGCCGATTGGGGTGGTTCATTACTGAGGATTGGGTGTCATTACAGTTTTAAGCAAGAGGAATTGAATTATTTAGACTTTATTCGTTGCAGTATCTCACGTGAAAGTCCTTGACAAAGAGACTATCCAAGATGGTGATCCTCTCAGTGATGTGCAGTACACGCTTGAGCACTTAGAGGTGTTCAAAGTGAGTACGATTCGGAGTTTCTCACATTTGTTCTGCTCCTATAAAAGAATTTGAAGGCTACAAATGGTACCGACCGCTTGCCGCTTGTGGTGCTAACTTCGTCGGAATCGTCGGCATGCGGCATTTCTCTTGAAAATGGAAGCGAATATTTACTGTCAGGTGAAGAACAATTTTAAATAAAGAAATCACTTATCCTCTTCAGTATGCAGAGCAAATTCCACTAATGGTAATGGTCAACCGTACGTTGAACACAAGTCAAGGGCAGTTGTATCTGGGTCCGGGAGGAGATCGTTGCCTGCTTTTTGTGTGCGGTAATTATGGAAACGGACTCGTGTTTGTCAGTTCTGGGGAGTTCCGTTTCCAGAAAATAAAGTCATATACCATCGCTGTAGAACTTGATGAGGCCTAACGGAATTGCTTTGCTCTGACACTGCTATCAAATTTCTTCAATCAATTCACCCTGGGCAGTTATACAGAGGAAGCTGCTTTTACGAGAGCTCTGTTCTGTAAGAGCTCAGCCGACCTGTGTTTCAAACAGCGTCGTAGAGGGCCAAGATCTACTGAGAAATCGTACGGCTCGAACCTTACAGTATGTTCCCGTGACAAATTTTTCTAATGTCGCACATGTAGAAGGCGAAGCTCTCCGATATAGATGTCGATAGTCACCTCTCCTTTCTATGTTGCACCCAGCTATCAGGCTTGACTGAAGCAGAGTGTGATTAATTCATTTGTGAATATGCGAAAAAGTCTTGTTTGGCATTTCTTCAGGAAAGGTGGGTGCGAAAATTGCAAAAAGTCCGGTTTTGTGCAAAAAACTTCGTCTACACCGAAACGCTAAACTTTTAAAAAGCGTTCATTTCCTGCAAATGGGTGAGTGGTACGACAGGAGTATCTCATAGGTCTACCGCTAAAAGACAATGAAGGTTTCTCAAAAAGGATGCTGGGAAATCAGGTCTCTGGAACAAGAGAATCAGAGATTTCACTAAAAAGTATGGATGCATACCAATATGGTTGACTCCAAGATTCTTCCGCTAATTTTTTTGAGGAATTTAGCCATTCAGATCGATATCAATCTTTTCACAGAGTTCCATACGTATTTCATCGTTTGTTCTTGCGCCTATACCAAATAATCAACAGCAGCGACAATTAGGAGCTTTGTAATTAAAGAGTCAATCATAGGATGAGGGCGGCAAAAATATCAATAGAAGTGAACTTTATGAAAATATCATTACAGCCACTATACTCGTGTTTGTACCATTTCCGCGTACGCTGGCCGTGGCAATGCACTCCCATCAAATTCGATGTCTGCCATGTCGCGAGCGAACAGGCTATTTCTTCTATACCCACTAACAGATTACTCACGCCAACCTACCACCTTCCCATTATGCTTTAAGCCTAGCATTATTACTGTGTGTGGCTGTAGCATTACAGTACTTGTTAAGATATTGAGAATGAAATTGCGAATGTGCTCAGCAGAGTCCGCTAGTGCCAAATCATTCTTAAATACTTGAATACACTATTAATTTGTTCTATCAAAACGTTTCATTATAAGTTTATGCAAGATCGTAAACTTTCACGACATATCTAAGAAATTTGGAATTGTCTTCGACATGAGCTAAAAAACAATAGAAGCTGTGCCAATTTTCAAACTTACCTAGTTTCTTAGTTTGTGATCGAATAGCTTCCAAATTTCGCTTATTATGATATTATATGTGCTCGCAAATAATAAGCAATAGCAAGAAGAAAATTTTTCCCGCGAAAAAGAATTCGGGTCCGAAAGAGTTGAGCAGCTCAGACTTGGTGTCTGCGAGCTGCCCATAGCATAGGGCTTGTTTCTCTTTATGAACTGTAATTTTTATACATGAACTGTCGACGCTGCGACAAATATCTGATAGTTTCGAGAGGATTCCCATGTGAGCTTCCCTCAAAAAGTTGTTGTGAAATATATGAAAATAATCAGTTTTTTTCACACAAATATGTCGCCCTTCTATGCAGCTGGATCCGGTTTCGGGATTTCACCAGGGACAGTTACGCCCTCAGGTAGCACATCAGATACTTGGGGGCTTGTTTTGCAAAATAAATACCTCAGTATGGAGCTATCCGGCCAACTAAGTATGGATTTATGCCACGTTTACAGATTCGTCATTAACAGTGCTATCTATTGATTCCTTACTCCATTCCCTTAAAGTCGCTTAACACAAGTCTGGCAAAGGGAGTAGAGAGGCGGATCAATGCAATGCAATTTGTCAGTTTTGCAAAAATTAGGGGAGATATTGTGGGAGTCACACAGGGCGTATTTGTGTGGGAAAGGAATTCACCAACTTCCATTGCACGATGAAACTCTCGCATGGGAAGGTGTGGGAGCTCAAGGCGCAATCCACCTCTGCTCAAATTCCCCTATCAAATACTTTTTGTGTACCCACGCAGTTCTTCTTCTGAGTGTTCTTCCAAACCCCATTTCATCTCTAGAATTGATATGGAAAACGAAATTCGAGCTTCAAGCTGAGTACTCTATAACTCGTCCTGTGTGAAAGAGCCGTTGAAATCAATAGCTAGAGCTGCAGAAAATCTCTCATATAACAATACTTCAAACATTCCATGAGAGGAAAAAGTTGTATCAGTATTGGAGGTATGATTTATGATGCCAAATCTCATTCCTTCCAATCGAAATTTCAGGCAGCTTCTACAACGACTTATTTCACACGTCAACATGTGGACAGATCGTGACTGACGAACCCAGCGACAATTTCTCTGGTGGCCTCATGGAATGGACTGATATCTCAGCCACCTTTTTGAGTCGACTGAAATCATTTACCTGCTGAAGGAGCAATGTACTCCTGTGAATGCTTATTTGTGTTAATCTATGTGGCACAATGCGTTGCGCAATTTAGGGCACTTTTCATTGAAGAGCTTAGTATTTATACCAACCAACACATTATATCGCTTTTTTTCCAACTTTGGCTCCTGCCGTTCTAATATGTTGATGTCCATTTCAGGGGTTCGAATATGAGCTTTTGCTACAAATTTGGAGACTACAAGAAATTGATATTGGTTCTAACCAGGAAAGTACAATATTTCACGTTTCCCATGCAAGTTTGAACTGAGACCTAGCTAAATCGACAGAGCCTCTCCTTCTCCTTTTCCCTAACCTTAGTCCTGCGCCGTCGCAGGATCTGCTGTCTTTATCAGTTGCCGCCACTTCGCTTAGTCTAGGGTATCTTCTGATGTGGCCGTGACTTCAGTTAGATCCTTCTTGATTACGTCCCTTCCAACTCTTCTTAAGGCCCTCGTGGACGCTTGCCTGCGCTTCGAAGTCCAGTGCTTTCCTTATGGGGTGGTCCTGTGGCATCGGCAGCAACATGCGCCCATACGCTCGCGTCGTTTCCTCACTTTAGCTGGCAGAGGTAGTCTGGCAAGGACCGCCTACTGGACTCCTCCGTTCTAACCTTGTCCAGCCGCGTCCAGCCGCAGGCCCATCTCAGCATCGTCATCAGCTGAATATGAAGCTGCCTTTCGTGATCCTTGTTCAGGGGCCAGCACTCGCTGCCGTATAGCATCGCAGGCCTTACACTGTCCGGTACACCTTTCCTTTGAGCGCTCTGGAGCACCTTCGATCGCAGAGGATTCCAGTGGACTCCCTCCATTTCATCCATGCCGCGTTGATTCGTGCCTTTACTGCCTGATCCACACTTCCGCGGCTGCCAGACCGCTCCCGAGGTATCTGAATTCCTCCACTCTTTTGATCGCTGGTCTCCATGGCCGTCTATGATTGGCTCTGTTTATACTCAGGAACTTGGTCTTCTTGACATTCAGCCGGTAGCCCACCTTCTGCCAGGACTTCTGCCATTTCTGCACCTTGGCTTGAAGTTCCTCTCTGCTATCCGCTATCAAGGCGATGTCGTCAGCGTAGAGGATGGTCTTCAGTGGTCCTTCCATGAGCCCCTTCACCAGGGCATCTAGTGTTAGGAGGAAGAGGAACGGGCTCAGAGCTGACCCTTGGTGCACCCCAACCGTGATGTTTACCTCCTTTGTTAGGCCATGAGGTGCGTATGGCTGCCTTAGCCCCATCGTACATGTCCTTCACCAGAGAGATCAGGTGTTCTGGCACGTTCCGTTCCCTGAGCGCTCTCCATAGCACTGCTCGCGGTAGCCGGTCGAACGCCTTCTCCAGGTCGAGGAAGGCTAGGTAGCAGGGTCGGCGTTTTCTCTACTTTTTTATACTTACTCTATACTTCTCCATCACTTGCCTTGCGATGAAGATGGCATCCGTTGTAGACCTTTCGGGCATGAACCCGAACTGTTCCTGGGAGATCTGGACCAGCTCCCGCAGCTTCGAGTCGACCAGTCGCGGCACAGTTTAATTGTATGAGCAGTTTTCGCAGCTTCTCGAATGGCGCCGTTATGCTCTTCACACTCTTCACCACCCTGATATCTTGAGTAGCCCGATGCCGGGCTTTGGCCAGTCTGAAGACGAACTTCTCTGCGTTTCTGCTTTCCAACTTCTCGTACAAGGCGTCCATCTCCGTGTTCTTCGCCTTGGCGACGGCAGCCTTAGCGAGCCTCTTGCAACTCTTGTAGGCAGCGAGGTCTTCGGGGCTCCGGGTCTTCTGCCAGCGCTTGTACGTTTCCTTCTTGCGCTTCGTGTTCTTGAAAGTTCTGAGGATGATCTTCTTACCAGCACATGGTCGATTTCCGTCTGTCTCCCTCCACTGCTGTAGGTTACCTTCTGAGTCTCCCTTTTCGCGAAGAACGTGCTGCAGATTGCCAGATCGTGGGCCGTAGCCAGGTCCAGGACCCTCTCAGCGTTCCTCGTTCCTATTCCTCTACCTCCGTGCACCCTTTCCAGGCCTCTTCTGTCACTGCCGACGTGACCATTCAGATCACCTGCTATGGTCAGGTAATCGCCTTCCGGAATCGATCTTATGGCTTCGTCAGGCTCAGATAGAACTCGTCCTTCTCACTTTCGGGGCATCCGGCTTGCGGTGCGTACACGGAGAGTATGGTCCAGTACCCCTCCTTCGTGTCTATCCTCACAGCCATGATCCGATCGCTGATCCTGTTCACAGCGGAGACATAGTCCTTGAGCGACTCCGCTACCGCTATGGCCACACCGTTCCGCTTGGTGTCTTCTCCATTGTAGTAGAGTTTGACACCTTCCCCGATTTCCCTGGCCTTAGCACCTTTCCATCGCGTCTCCTGAAGGCATAGGACTTGGATATTCCTGCGCGTCATCAGATCAGCAACCTCTCGGGACTTCCCAGTTAGCGATCCTACGTTCAGAGTCCCAATTCGAACTAGCTTCTTTAGCCGAGGCCGTGTCCTCCTCAGTATCCCCCTGCACTGGCAGAGCCTAGAAGGTTGATTACAAATCAGAACTGCCTACGAAATTTTAAGCGACCAATTCGGTCGTTATTGCAGCATTGGTATAATGATATTTGATAAAAGCCCACTTGCAAGAAATTCTGCTTAGAACGACGACGCCTAGTTCAGCAATCTGGAAGCGTCAACCTAGAATGCAAAATTTCGTCACCGCGGAAATCCGAACGTGGAAACTTGATCACTAACAACTTCCTTGACAGGTTCCCCTAGCCATTTTGGCCTTCGCGTTTGTGAAAATCATTCCAGGCTACGTCTGTTCACCTGAGACTCTTTTCAAAGTGTCGTGTATTCTTTTTTGTTAGGCGATCGTTGCTAAACGGTGGAGGTCGTTAAAAGGTACTGAAAAGGCCCAGGAGAAGGAAGATAATGAATGATTCCCAGTTCCTTCGAATACCGATTTGTTCCTATAGAACTCATCAGCAGATTAACAATTTATTTATTTATTATTTATTGGTTTATTTGATTGCTTATTGATGGCACGAAGTTGCACCAACATGCTAGGAAATAAACCGATGATTCAAACAAATAATCCAACACACTTATCGTTAGAGAAGAAAACAAAAAAATATTAAACACAACGTGAAGAAATTAACTCATTGTCAGATGTGCATCCATGGTGAAACTCTTAATGACGCGAAGATTTTCAGAAAAGGCTCTCAACAGGAGCTAGCCCTCGCAATTTAGTTAAAAGCTTACACTAGACAAGAAGAAGACGAGTACAGGCAAAGTAGGTCATCAATGAAGCAGCAAAAAGGTAGTCATTGGCGAATATTTCATAGAAGAAAAACTAGGAGCATTATCAATATTCACCTTTTTTAATCTTCTTTTGAAGACAGCACTACTGATAAAAGTCATAACTTTTGGAGGAGCAGATTAAGCCATTTAGCTCCGCGACAAAGGACATTATTGAACATCGGTCTTGGTTACCAGCGAAGACATAGTGAGGATTGAACCCACCTACCCTATCACCAGCCGACTTGAAGACCCGGTACTTATTGACATTCATTGGACTCCCCACGAAGGACGCGAAAGCAATAGACAAGGTCCGGTAATACGCGCCAACACAGCAGGGTCTCAAACTAGAACATTCTTAGTCGTTCTATATAACTGAGTAAGAGATCACGACGGACGTTATGCGTGAGTGTGTACAACAGCAGCCATGTAAATACACGATGATCTCTTTCGATTTTCGCAACAATTTTCTTGAACACAGACTCCAGACTTGGGAACAGTATTCGATATGTGGCAGCACACACGCCTGGTGGAGGTGGCTGTGTATAGCCATCCACTGAGCATTGCGAAATGAAACGAATAGATTGGTAAACGCTTTCTCCACAGCATGATCAATATGAAAGGAGAGCTTCAGTGGCCGGTGTCAGACTTTGCGATTGGAGCGATTTGGTCAAGATAATGTGGAATCGCGCGAATCGCGCGAGGGGCGCCATCGCTCCCGTTGTGCGAGTCACAGGCCGTTGTGGGAGGACTGGCGCGCCCCCCTCGATCGATACGTAACAGATTGCCTAGCGCAGCTCCTCAGTCAACGATTGCAGGTAATCGTGCGATTTTTTTCCCGAACACGTGTGAAGTGGTTCGTATATACCAGCCACTCTTTGACAGCGTCAGCTTTTGTGTGATCACGTGCAACTCGCCTAAGCTCAGGATCGCGATGTCTTTCCTCAAGTGTCACACTCTTACGAATATAACAGGAAAACCAGCACTCCGGAGCAGTCGAGCAAGTGCGGCTCGCCAATGTGAGCGAGCAAGAAGGACAACTTTGAACAGGCAGGGACATTTGGGTCCAACTTACCCATCCTACAAACTTTGGAAGGTCAGCATTCCTACCTTTAAGGCAAAATTCGGGATTGAACTCAAATCTTCCCCGTTCATATATGAAGTCGTGGGTGGCAGTTGGTTCAGCATACAAAAAAAGCATGGAAAACCGCGAAATGAGCCCAAAATAGAATCCCCATCTTCTTCAGTAGATTTCAAGCCAGAACTGCGAGAGTGACGTCGCGGGACGAGTTGTCCGAAATGCTGGCACCATGCCAGCAACGCTAGATCCAGGTCATCAATCGATGAAGCCAGAAAAGCTCAGCTGATTGCTGCCATTCTGCTAAGTTTCCTGTTCTTTCTCTCTTCATTCAGTCATTTTTTGTGTTTGCTTTTCGATAATCTACTCACACTCGAACTGCAAGAAAAACGGTCCCGAAGCATGGCCACAACTTTGGTTAAAAAAACACCAGCTGGACAATCTCAGAAATCGAATTCAAATTACACATATTACCCACCACTCAACTTTTCTCTTCAAAAGACTACTATAGCATACGCCGTAGATTCAACAAAGCAGAATAAAGTACTTCAGTCGTCCGGTTTTTTCTTAAAGGTCGCTGTGGATGCTCAAAATCCTGAAACTTTCTATGTAAACAGTAGTTAGCTGTATTTT